GACCCGGGGCTCCAGCCCCCACCCCTTTGATAAGTCATGTTGCATTTCTCCACAGATGGGGGAGATGGGAAGGCTGCCGTCCACACTCAGATTCCTGCCTGTTCTGCTTGGGGGAGGGAGGAGAGGAGAGGAGGGGAGAAGACCCTTCTGCCCCTGGGTCAGGGCCTAAGTGAGACCTTTGCAGCCCTGCAGGACGATGCCATTCCCGTCAGCAGGCGGTGGAAAAGTTGGCTGGCCTCCACCCCCAAACCAGTGCAGAGGAGGAGAGGGCAAAGTAGGAGGGGCCCCGGAGGCCCAGCAGCTGCCTCCCTCACGGGTGGGTCCTGTTTCCAGGTGCAGCAAGCGTAGGGGACAGGGCTGGTGTGTGAAGGATGGGGACTCTGGGCGGCTCTGGGAAAGAGCCAGGAGGGGCCAGCAAGGATCTCCAAAGAACTGAGGCCGAAACCCAGCTCACCAGCAGACTCACAGAAGGCCTGGGAGGGGCGCTTCAGAGAGTGGGGGAGGACACGGGTGGTTCCTGGGGGCCTCCTGGGCTGGCCTGCAGCAGCTGCCGGGCGCCATCCCCAAACCCCCCCAACAGGCTCCTTTTCCCCACTTTACAGAGGGAGACACAGAGGCTGAGAGGAACAAGAACTGACTTCAGGTCACACAGTGGCCCCCGTGCTGGGGTCACAAGCCAATGGTCAGAGCCCCCGGGAGGACTCCACACAACCACCAACCTTGCACTCCAACCTCTAAAATCTCCTGCACCACCTGCTTCTCCTCATATATGGGTAGGTAAGCCAGGGCAGCCCGTGCCATGTAAGACTGGAGTTCAGGCAGAAGGGACAGGCGACAGACCCAGAAAACAGGGTGCTGGGAGAGATACCTGGGGAGGAGGCCAGAGTCAGGCTCTACCACCAACTGTGTCATGGCCCTTGGGCAGGGGTCCTCTCCGAACTTCAGTGGCTTCTTCGTAAAATGGGAGAAAAGAACCAGTTAACCACAGAGGCTTTTGGACATGAAATGAGACTACGACAACAGGAAACCAGAAGCCAAGGTATCCCAGGCGTTGGGAAGAGCCAAGGCTGAGACTGCCAACTGGGGGCACCAGTTCCAGCCGTGCTTGACTTTGAGGCTGGCACCTTCTCCCTGGCTCTCTGCACCGTGCCCCTCTCCACACGCCACCCATCAAGGGACAAGATAATGTGCTTTATCGGGGGCATTTATTATCGACAATTGCTTCATAAATCTCCCTCTATTCACACGCATATGTATAAGAGGTGGAGAAGTACGCAGGGAAGACTTCTGCGCCAACCCCCCATGTCGTCAGCTGGCCCCCATAAAGATAACGGGAAATGATTCATAATATTTATTTGACAGACATGATATGAACCGTAATAGTCTGTTGGGATTAAAAATATCCGTCCATCTCCGTCATCCCCAACGTGGTTTAAATATTATATATGTGGCCACTGCGGCGGCCAGGGGTGGGGAGCGGTTATTGATAGTGGCCATAAAGAGGCGTCGTTCCGCGGTGAAGAATGGGGAGAGGCCCCCGGAGTTTGCCGGATGCTCCTTGGTGCTCGCATCAGAAAACACTGTGCTGAAAACTGCGGCTCTGCCCCCACAGAGCCCGTGAGTGGGGTGAAGACAGGCCAGCACACATTATCCTGGGTCTCAGGAGGGCCTGGCTGGGCTCCAGGTCGAGGCTCAGCCTGGCAAGGTTGCCAGCCTCACAGTGCAGGCCCGGGGCCAGGTCCCAGCCCTGGGAGGCCGAGTGTAATAGGGCCCTAAAGGTCCAGGCCCCACCCTGCCACTGGCCTCCTGTCCCTGCCTCTGCCCGGCCCAGGGAGGCAGCCTCCATCCCCGTCCCCGACACTCCCAGCTTCCAAACCCACCCCTGCTGCCATGGCCCTAAGGATGAAGTCCAGACTCACAGGCAGTGCTCCTCCTTCCTCTGAGTCATCTTCCTCCTGCTCACCCAGCCCTGCCCACAGCCGTCCCTCCCCAGGCTAGCACCTGGTCCCCAGGGTTGCTCGTCTCCTGTGCCACGCCCCTACCCACCACCAACACACAGACATGCAGCACGTGGTGGCTGTGGGCAAGGGCTGGGATCCCCAGCTGTCCACTCCCCACTGGGCAGGTTATGGGACTCGGGGACTTGGAGTGCTCGCTGAGCCAGGGGGACATGGCTTTGAAGGGCCTGGCTCTCTTCTGCACCCCAGGTCACATGCGCAGACCTCTATACCCAACACAAAAGGTGGTTTCCTCCAAGGGCCTCCGTTTACCTGTCGGCCAAAGAGTCTGTGGCCCCAGGGATCAAAGCCCTTGCAACCAGGTGCAAGACCCATGCGGAAGACTTTTGGTATTTGCTCTGGAAAGAGCCCACAAGGAAAGGGGCACAGAGAAAATCTTCGGGAATCCCTTACCCCGCACCCAGGCCCTTTCCCACCAACCCCCAGAAGACAAGACAGACAACACCCCCCTGGCCGGTAGCCCAGTCCACAGGCCGATTGTGGGGACAGCTGGCCTTTGTTTCTCCCACCATGAGGGTCCCCCCCAAGTAAAGCCTCTTCTAAGCACAGGCACAGGGAAGGGAGGGGCAACCCTGGACGCAAGGCCCTCCAGCAGGAGCACAGGCGCCTGGGGCTTGGGGCCTGACCTTGGCTCTCTACCTTGGGCAGGTCTGCTGCCGACTGGATCATAAGGAGGCCCTAGCACTGCCCTGAGCCCTTGAGCCCAGCCTGGGGGGTACCCCCTCCTCCAGCAGCCTGCCCACCTGCTTCAAAGTGCCCGTATATGAGGCTCCAGTCAGGCCCCCCCAGCAAATTTCCATAACTTGAGGGGTCTGTGACCCCTGCCGGGCCTTTGTTGGCCAGAGCACCCCTGGGCCTCAGGCACCCTCTGCTTCTCCCACAAAGCCTGCAGCAGCCCTTCCTCAGGGGTGATGGACACTGAGAGACGATGAAGGAGACAGGCCCAAGGGGGCTCAGGTCCAAGCCTGCACAACTGTCCAGGGCCAGTGGGCTTCACAGGGGCTTCGTGACCAGCCCTTTCCCCTGGAGCGCAAGGGTGGGAGGAAGATGAGGAGGGGCGACACCCTGGTGGAAACTGCATGGGGGCCCCAACACCTGGCCAGTAAGCCCTGCCCCCATGGCACCTGCTGGACCTCAGGTCCACCAAACCTGCAAGGCATCCCAGTGTACCAGACCTGTGTCTCCTGCCTCGTGGCTTTAAAAACAGCTTGAGGGCTGTGGGTGTTTGGAAAAGGGAGCCAAAGGCCCAGGTCACCCCTGCCATGGCCGCGGCAAAGGGCAGCCCCAGATCCCGCCCAGCGGTGCGTCCCTGGAGCGGCTGCTCCCTGGCTCTGGCAGCGTGGCTGAGGTTCGAGGTCTCCTGATGGGGGTGTTTTAAAGTGTGGTCACTCCCTACTTGGTCTTTTCCAGCTTAACCACCCATCAATAAATCCAGGCCGGTGATGGGAGTGGGGACCTGAGCCCCAAGGGGCTCAGGGGCCAGATCACAGCCTGTGCCCCCTCTGCCAGCCTGTGCCCCTCAGGCCTCAGTTTCCACCTGAGGTGGGGCTGGGCTGGCTCTCTCCTGTGGACAGGTGAGGTAGAACCTCTGGAGCCTGCCCAAGGAGTGCCGAGGACAGCACAGAGCACAGCAGTTCACAGCGTCTCAGACCCGGCTGGTGGAAATTCCCCATGGTGACTTCTCAGCCCCAACGCCCACAGAGATGCTCCAGGGAGGGTCTGGAAGTTGAGTGAAAGGGAGACTTTCCCAGCCCAGGCCCAGCACTGCCCAGTCGAAGCCACATGGCCAGGCACATCTAGATAGATCATCCTGGTGATCACAGACTCAACCCCACCCCAGGGCACCAGGGCTTCTGGGCAGGGGCAGGTCCTTCGGGATGCCCTTGGGATCTGAACGGTCTTAAGCAGCTCTTCACAACTCCTGGCCTCTGCTCTCAGCTTTTAAGAAGTCTGTACTTAGTGGGCTTGGGGAGCCATTCGGAGCCCACCGGGGTGGACAGAGGCTCCTGCTGCTGGGGTGCTGCAGGGCCATCAGCAGAGGGGCAAGCTTTGCCTGCCAACCACACTTGGAGTCACCACAGAGCAGAGAGGATGAGCCGAGAGCCCCTAGGACAGCTGCTGCCCCTGCTCCATGCGGCCTGCTCCTGGGGTCAGTGGTGTGGAGGAGCTGGCCGGCCACGAGCCCTGGAACTTGGCAGCCAGCCACCAGGCTCCCGTTCCCCAGGTTCAGAAGAGCCCTGGGCAAAGGGTATGCTGTCTCCTTGTCATCCCAGCCCAGTCCCTTCCAGGGCCGTAGAGCCACTCAGGAGCCTGGATCCGGCGGTCCTGCCTGGAGGCTGACCATAGGGCAGTGTGTCCTCTCCCCAGCCTCAGGTGCCCTTGCAAGTGTGTGCTCAACACAATACACCAGCAGGGAGATGAAGGCAGCTAACAATTCCGTACAGCGGGATCCCAATCCCAGATACACACACGAGAATCGGGGAGAAATGCCTGCCTGCCCCGAGGGCTGCCTCAGAGAGTTCTGGAAACAGGCACTTTCACACCCCACTTCCTGCTTTTCCTCATATTCTACAAAGACTCTTTATTTTAAAAATAGGGCTGACCACAAAGTCCAGTCTGGAATCCATCGGGAGCCTGACCCCAGCTCAGCCCGATGGCCCTGTCACCACGTAACTCTGCCTCGAGGCTCCCTGCAGAAGCCCCCACCCCACGTCACCCCCTGTGGCATCCGGAAGCCAAGGCCATGCCTCTGGAACCCGCTCCTCCTGCCCTCCTCGGTGTGATGGGTTCCAGCCTGCACCGGCCAGCTGTCCCTCCCCCCAGGCCAGCTCAATTCCGTCAGTGATGTCCTCGAACACCCGCATCCACTTCCTCCGACAGGACCGTGTGCGCCCTCCCCTTGCTGCGAGGAGATGTACCCTCTCTGCCCACCCTGTCACCGGGCCAGAAGAGATTAATAACACACTTAATTTCACAAGCACAGAAGGTTGCATCTAAATGGCCAAAATATTTGGACCACAGCACGACAAGTGAGCTCATTCTGGTGGTTTTAAAAGCTGACACAGACGCCGCTTGGCTTGTGTTCACGGTGATCGCGTGCCAACACGGCTGAACGGCGAGGTCGCCCGGGATGGTGCCCCAGACCCTAGGACCCCACGAACACCAGGGATGGCCACAGAGGGGGAGCAGACAGCACGGGGTAGGCCACAGCACGGCCCCACCCCAGGCCACTTGTACTGGCACCCAGGTGCCCTGGGGGCCAGGTCCTGCCCAGGCCAGACCAGGGACCCAACCACGAGACCAGAGAGGAAAAGGAGCCAGTGGTGCAAAGATGCCCCCAGCGCTCCCGAGCTCCATTAGTGCCTGGAGGTCGGGTCCGGTCTGCAGGAGATTGGAAGGGCCGGCCTGCGGGGGCCACAGAGAGGCTGTCCCAGTGGGCCCAGGAGGACACCGTGCAGGACGATCTGGGTGTCTGGCGAGGAGACTCTAAAGGCTGGGCGGCCCCCGTCTGGAAGAGCCCAATTATTAGGGAAGTGGAACAGGAGCTGCAGGAAGTTCTGACCCCGAGGGGCCCACGCTTGGTACCCCTGTCCTCTGAGCGCTGGTCCCTTGTTCCTCGTGCCAGGGATCGATGTGATATTGGCTCCATTTTACCAAGAGGAAAACCAGGCTCCAAGGTGGGCATCGGCTCTCTTCACCGCCCACTGCACTGGGGTCCTCCTGGGAAGCCCCCAGGCTGCTTGGCTGAGGAGGGCTTGGCTGGGGGGCTGCTGCAGGCACCCCCCTCAACTTAACTCCAGGCTAGCTCAGCAGCTGGGTCCTCCCTTCCCAGAGGACTTTCCAAAACAAAGGAGGGTCCCAGGCAGGCCTGGATGCCCCTGCCTCAGCCCCTGGCCCCTCCAATTTTGCACACAGGGACTCAGGCCCAGAAGGAAGGTGCTTGCCCACGCGCCTCCCGGCACACAGGGCCCCCCAGGCCTGGCAGCCCCTCCCTTGGACTGCCCGGTATGGTGTGGGCAGCACATGCCCATGGGGTCTGCCGCCTGCCCTCCAAGAATGCCCCCTGCTCATCCTCACGCCTGCTGTCCCCAGGAAGCCCTCGAGCAGCTGTGTCTGGAGCCCCTGACACATGCCCTTGCTGAGAGCTGAGCAAAGAGCTAACAGGATTTCCCTGCGGCCTGCCACTCCCGCGCTGACCCTTCAGTGGTGTCTGAAGAGGAATTAGCACAGGCTCCCCCCCCCCGCCCCAGCTGCTCCAAGTGGATTTCCTTCTGCGTTCAGCCTGGCTCCTGGCGAGGCTGGACTCCGGGCTAGCGGGGAAGGCGCCTGGACAGGCGTCAGCTCTCCTGTGAGGCAGCCAGTCCAGGTGACAGGGAGGGGCCAGCGTCGAAAGTGTTCACGGGAGGTCCTGTCCACAAGGCCCAGGCAAGCACCCTGAGGCTCTGACCCTCCCCTCTGCCCTACAGCGTTGGCCAGTCCTTCCTGGAAGGCTGCATCTTGGAACAAGTCACAGCTCTGAGTCTCAGTTTTCTCACTTGTAAAACGGGACCTAGTAAAGGCCCGAGTGGGCCTCGGTACGCACAGAGCAAACAGTACGCGGTTTTGCTTTTTAAAAAATGGTGGAACGTAGAGCAGGAGGGAGGAAGGGAACTCCCAGGCACTGCAGACTCCTTCTGGGTGGGCTCGGAGGAGGCCAGCTCCTCTCCTGCACGCAGCGTGACCACCTCTGAGCGGTGCCCGGCCTACTGTCTTTGCAGGGGTCTCTTCAGGAGGAGGTGCCCACCTGGTCAGTACCACCAGCAGAACAAGCGAGTTCACCACGCCCTCGTCCATATCAGCTGTGAGGTCACTGTCCAGTCCCCAGGAGGCCGCCCAGCCCCTGAGGGAAGGTCGCAGCTTCTGGAAGCAGCAAGGCCTGTGGGGGGGCGTGTCGCACCTAATCTGCAAGGAGATTAACAACAGGATTAGACCCAGCCCGGCCAGGCCAGCAAGGAGGCAGGACAGGCCCAGAGGCCACAGGCATGGGAATGGACACCAGGAGGACAAGAAGTTACTCACGCAGAAGCCAAAGAGGAGAGGATGCTGACTCACTCAGGTGCGACCAGAGGGCTGGAGCGATGGCACAAGGAGACCAGGTCGTGCCCGCACTAGACAGGCCAGCAGTAGCAGAGAACCCAGGTGTCAGGCTGCCTTTCTAGGAGGATGGACCCTGAGAGGAGGAGGAAGATGGGGTCCGAGATGGCTGGGGTGGATGCGCCAGGCCAAAGGGGGCCTGAAATTCCCGCCCTCCACGGTAGGCCAGCATGCAAGGATTCACCCGAGCAGGGGCCTATTTCTGCCCTCGCACCTTGAAATGAAATCACAGAGGGGACCCCCGAACCCAGCCAGCTCTCTCCAAACACAGGGAATAAAGTTGCAGCCTAAAAGTGATCATTCCAGGGCTGTGGCTCCTCGGTAGAGCACTTGCCTAGCAGGTGCAAGGCCCTGGGTTGATCCTGAGCAACACACACACACACACACACACACACAGTGATCCTGCATATCAAATTGTGTGAGATGCAGCCAAAGCAGTGCTTAGAGGGAAATGTTTAGCTTTAAAGGCCTGCATTAAAAGTAAAAAGATTTAAAGTCGATAACCTAAGGTTCTATGTTAAGATGATTTTTTAAAAAGAAGAACAAAGTAAACTCAAAGTGAGTAGAAGAAATACTAAAGATAAATGCAAGAAATCAGTGAAACAGAAGCAGATCATAGAGATGATAGTTAACAAATGCAAAAACTGGTTGGTTGAAAATATCAGCCAAATTGACAAGCGCCTCATCAGAATAACCAAGAAGAAAAGAGAGAACACAGAAGTGGTTTTCTATTAGGAATGGAAAAAAAGCCCATCGGCACTGTACATGTAAAAAGATGTAGGAGAATGCCACAAACGACTTTTTGCCTTAAAAAATGTGACAATGTAGAGGAAATGAACATGTTTCTTTCTTCCTCTTTTCTTTTTTTCTCCCTTCTCAATCTTTGTTTTTTTTTTAATTTTTTGTTTATTTGTTTTCACCTGAGAATTGAACCCAGGGCACTCTGCCACTGAGCTACATTTTCAGCCCTATTTATTTTATTTTGAGACAGGGTCTTGCTAAATGGCTGAGGCTGGCCTCAAACATGTGATCCTCCTGCCTCAGCCTCCAAGTCACTGGGATTACAGGCGTGCACCACTGTGCCCAGAAACGTATTTCTTGAAAGAGAAAACTTACCAGAATTGACTCAAAATAGAATATAAAGTCAGATCAGCCCTGTAGCTCTTAAAGAGATCAAATAGACCAGAAATCATCCTGATAGAAGACTCCAGATCCCAGTGGTTCCATGGGTGAACTCAGTCACTTAGATCTTTTATCAAAGATTTAAGAAAAAACGTTTTTTCAAAGATTTGATAAAATTCTTTTCAAAATATTGTATTAAACATAACAATATATAAAAGAGTGATATTCATGATCAAGTGGGATTTATCCCAGGGATGCAATGTCAGTTTCACATTTGGAAAATGATCCACAGAATTCACCATATAAACATACTGAAGGGGAAAAGTCACATAGCAGTTTGATTATTCCAAAGGATTCTGAAAAAGGATCTGACAAAGTTCAACTTAATTTCATACTAAAAAAAAAAAAAAAACTCAGAAAATTAGACATAATAGAGAATTTTTTCAAAGTGATAAAAAGAATCACAAAACAAAACAATCTCATTTTTTAAAAAGACATATTTAACAGTAAAAATGCTGACTTATTTCCCCCTTGGACTGGGAACAAGAAAGCATGTTCTCTTGCCACTTCTACTCAACATTACCGTTAGTCAAGAAAATGAAATAAAAGGCAAAAAGCTCAGAAAAGCAGTTGAAGTGCTCCTTTTTGCAGATGATGTGATTATGTATGTAGGAAATCCCAGGACATACACAAACAACAATCAGAACCAGTGAGTGAATTTAGCAAGGTCACAAGATGCAAGGTTGATATTTAAAAAAAAAAATTTTTTTTGCTCTTATGTGTTAGCAGTAAACAATTGAAAATAAAATATTTTAAATTTCACTTATAATAGCACAAAAGAAGTAAATTGTTTGGAACAAATCTAACAAAATTTGTTCAAGACATCTATACTGTAAAGTAAGAAAATAAAAAAGTCATAGGTAAACACAGATATACCATGTTCATGGATTTGAGAGTATGGCATGTTGGATTACAATGACCTCAAACCGATTCAACACAATCGCAATAAAATCCCAACATGAATTTTGATAGCAACTGACAATATAATTCTAAAAGTCATCTGGAAATAGAAATAAATGACTTGGAATATTCAAAGCAATTTTTTAAAAAGCAATTAAAAAAAAACAAAGTTGGAGAATTGACCCTATGTGATTTTAAGTCATTTTATAAAAATTACACTAATAAGGACAGTTTGATATTGGTCTAAAATAAAAAATGAAATATGCATATGTATAATTTGGAGGTCTAGAGCCCAGAAGCAGACCCTTACGTATGGCTAATTATTGACAAAAGTGTAATGGGTAGAAATTTTGTTGAAAGGACAGCTTTTGGATGCTCTGCCACCTAGATACCTATATAAAAAATTAAGTGTCAACCCTTATATCAAACACAGTAATTACCTTAAAATGTTTCATAGGACCATAAACCTAAAAGCATAAAGCCCCTAAAAGAAAATACAGTTGTTTGCTACCTTGGGGTGAAAACAGGACTCTAGGATAGAACACAAAATCATACAACCTTTTCTTTAAAAAGATCAATTGGACATCATCAGAAATGACAAATTTTGGCCAGGTGTGTCGTGGCACACCCCTGTTATCCCAGAGACTCAGCGGCTGAAGCAGGAGGATCACAAGTTTGAGGTCAACCTCAGCAACCTAGAAAGACCATGTCTCAAAATAAAAAATAAGAAGGGCTGGGGATGTAGCTCAGTGGCAGAGTGTCCCTGGGTTCAATCCATGATACCAAACACAAAAAATTTAAATTAAAAAGTTTCATTCTGCAAATAGTACCATTAGAAAATGGAAAGTCCAGGCACGTATGAAGAGGAAATATTTGCAAGGCATATACTACACAGAGGACTTGTGTCTAGAATATAAAAAGAGCTTTTAAAATTCAGTATTAAGAAAACCAACAAGAATTTTAAAGGCAAGAGATTTGAACATACATTTCACAAAAGGAGACACACAAGTGCCGATAAATACATGCAAAAATGCTCCCTGAGACATCCCCTCATCCACTGAGATGGCTAACTTTCAAAGACTGACCATTCCGATTGGTGGCAAGGACGTGGCAACTGGGGTGCTCTGACCCGGCCATGGGGATGTAAAGGGCCATAGTCACTTTGGAAAAAATTTTGGTGTTTCCTTTGAAAGTTAGCTATTCATCTCTCCTGTGACCCAAGCGAGCACTTACTCTTGGACACATGCCTACAAAATATTTGCACACAGCCGTATAGCAGCCCCCTGCAGTATGGGCCCCTGCCTCCTGTGTGTGTCACCAGAGGAAGCAAGCAGGAGACCTTGCGCCACAGTGGTGTAGGAGGAAGGAGGTGGCCCTGGAGGCCCTGGAGTCCCAGCCTCAGCTGTGCCCCTTGCTAGCCGTGTGACTTCCCCTTCCCAGCCCTCTGCTTCCTCAGCTACAGGGCTGTGTGCCGTGCTCCGAGGTCACAGAGGGGGACAGCAGCTCAGTGGGCAGCAGAGACCCAGCAACAGGAGGGGGTGCCAGCAGAGCAAGGCTCTTCTCTGGGGAGGCGGCAGGGTTCAGGGGAAATCTCAGTCCAAAGCAGTGGGATGTGCTCCTCCCAGGAGGAAGAGGGATGCAGAACGGCCCTCTCGCCTTCAACCGTGAACCTGTCCGTCTCGTGGGGCAGGAGACACAGGCTTGGGTGTCAGGCAGATCTGGGCTCAAATTCCAGCCCAGCATTGTGATATTGGCCCGGAATCCAAAGCTCCGAAGCCCCAGATTCTCCATTATAAATGGGCAAGAGAGCTAGCAGCTCCCCCGTCAGATACAGGAGGGAGCAGGTGGGCCTGTCCCCTCGCGGATGCCTTGGGCAGCAAAGCCCGTCTCTCCAATGGCTCCTCATTGGCAGAGCTGAGCATGAGGAAGCCCCAGGTGGTGGTTAGCATGGGGACCCAAGAGCTTCCTGCTGGCACCCTCTGGCCAGCCTCGTCTTCCTGGCTGACCAGCTCCTGGGTGGCTGTACTCAGGCCCAGGTGGTGCCCCTGGAGGCAGCTCCTGGCTTATGCTGTGCTGGGCTTGCTGCTTCCTTCCTTCCGAACTGGGCATTGAACCCAGGGACACTTCACCACATCCCCAGAGCTTTTATTTTAAATTCTGAGACAGAATCTTGCTAAGTTGCTGAGGACCTCACTAAATTGCTGAGGCTGGCATCTGACTGGCCAACCTCCTGCATTAGCCTCTCAAGTCTCTGGAGTTACGGGCGGGCACCACGTGTGCTGGGCTCTTTCTGGAGGCCCCCGTGGGACCTTGCTCAAGGGAGTTCTACAGCTCTGTGGGCTCCACCTGTGCCGCCTTCCCTGCACTGAGAGCTGGAGATTGGTCCCTTGGTCCAAAGGAGGCAGCCACAGTTTCAAATGGACCCCATGCAGGACAAGGGCCAGGCAGGTAAGGCCCAGGCAGGGGGTGTGGCCAGTGCTGCTGAGCCAAGGTGCCACCTGCAGGCATGGGGTTTACTCAGGACGTGACTGGGAACAGAACCACACACTGCCTCTGATCAGGAAGCCCATGGGGTCCAGCTGTGGTCCTTCTGCTCCAGGCAGTGTGGACTGGGTTTGAGGGTGCAGTCCAGCTGGCAGCAGGATGATCCGGAAGGTCCACCACAGCTTTATCACAAGTCTGAATCCTCGACAGCATGACAAGAAGACTGGGCTCTGCTGGGACTGTCACCCTGTGCACCTACACATGGCCTCATAAGCACATTCTCAGGGTAAATGGACTCTTAAGTCACAGCTCAGGATTGCCTGCATGTCCCAAGGGGGCCAGAGGAGAAGCCATGGGCTTCTTCTGACCTAGGGTTAGACGTCCTGGGGCTTCACTTGCACTTAGTGTGTTGGTTAAGCAAGCTGCACTGCCCATAAGATTCAAGGGGCCAAGACTGAGACCCAGCTTTCAGTGGAAGAAGAGTTATTTTGGAAGGGCTCTCTGCTAGGCTGTTTCCTCAGGAAGCCCTTACCACCACCAATAGCCTCATCATCCTCACCCTTATCATTACAAACTTCACCATCATCACCACCAGCATCACCACCATCACCAGCACCATCACCATCACCACCATCACCACAACCATCACCACCATCACCACAACCATCACCACCATCACCACCACCATCACCATCACCATCATCACCATCACCACCATCACCACCATCACCACCATTATCACCATCACCACATCACCACTATCATCACCACCATCACTGTTACCACCAGCATCATCACCATCAATACCATCACCACCATAATCACCACCACCATCACCATCATCATCACCACCATCACCACCACCACCATCACCACCATCACCACCATCACTACCATCATCATCATCTCCACCATCACCATCATCACCATCACCACCATCACCACCACTATCACCACCACCACCAGCATTGTAGCATCACCACCATCAACACCATCAACACTACCATCACCAGCATCACCACCACCATCACCACCAGCATTGTAGCATCACCACCATCAACACCATCAACACCATCACCACCAGCATCATCACCATCAACACCACCATCACCAGCATCACCACCACCATCACCACCAGCATCATCACCACCACCATCACCACCAGCATTGTACCATCACCACCATCACCACCATCAATACCACCATCACCACCATCACCACCAGCATTGTAGCATCACCACCATCAACACCATCATTGTAGCATCACCATCATCAATACCATCAACACCATCATCACCACCGTTGTCACCATCACCACCATCACCACCACCATCACCAGCACCACCAGATTCTTTACCACCATGGCTAACACCATCTTGGCAACCTCATTACTGGGGAGCACCAACTGTGCACTTATGCTCTCTGGGTTGCCAAGAAACCAAGTCACAGAGTGACTTACCTGAGCCAACCTGGCTGCAAACTGGTGTCCACCACATCCCTCCCCAAGGACTCCACTCCCAAGTCCTCCCGAGGCTGACTGGGCTTAGCCCGCGAGTCCTCTCCACAAACGTGAGGGCAGGCGGGCTCCTGGAAGCCTAGTCTCCTGCTCCCGTGCAGCCGAGGAGCTCGGGAGCTGAGGGGAACAGGACATCGCAGACGTCCCGCCGCTGTCTACACTAGTCAAGTTGATTGAATAATTGCCACTCCTTCATTTGGCATCAATGCAGCCTTGAACCTGGCTCTTTTACAGAGGCGTTCACCAGACCCTCTCGGGGAGGTGACTCTGGCTGGTCAATAGTGCTGCCTGCTCCCCCAGGTCAGGGGTCTCCTTCTCCAGCTGGAGGAGAAAGGCTAAATGACTGTCCGAGGTCAGGGAGTGACCCATGGGTGAGGCGACAAGAGGAGCCCTGCGCCTGACCACTGCCTCAGGCACTGACGACTAAATCACCCCAAAGAGACGAGTGTGATTTCATTTCTAGTCCATCTACAGGAGGGGGAAAATCAATGTTTGCTAAATGAAAAGGAAAAAGATTGGCAGGAGGAAAATATATTTCCAACTTTTAATAGTGCGTTATCGACAATGACCAGTCAGAGGTAAAGAGGGAGGGCCCACCTGGCTGAGTGGCTTGGCTTGACAGAGGGACACGATCTGGGGACTGAGAGCCAATGCAGTGGGAGGGCAACAGACTCCTCTGCCAGTCGGGGTGGCGGGCGCTGTGGGTGAGCCCAGCTGAATGCCCCAGGGGCCAAGGGGGGAGCAGGGAGGTGGCGTAAGGGGTCATCTGTGGACAGAAAGGAGAGAGAAGATGACCTGGTCTCTGCAGGGCCAGGAAGCACCAGGGGGGAGGGCAGGGAAGCGAGGAGGCGATTCCTGGGGCAAGGGGCAGGCACCTCCCAGGACCTGGCTGGCCCCGAGGCCCACCCAAGGGGGTTGAGGGCCACATTGGTTGGGAGGGTCGGTTTTCTTGCTCCCTGATCTCTGGTGTGCATTCAGGAAAATGCAGCACAAGACTCCTCGGTGCCGGCCTAGTTCCCAAAGCCGGGGAGGAAGCAGCGCCCAGCGCAGAGGCTGCCCGCCCCGTGCTGGCGATGGTTCAGCGAGTACAGCCTGGGAGGGGTGGGCGAGGGCCCAGTCCAGGCTGGGTGGAGGAGGGAAGGCGGGACACAGGGTCTGTCTCAGGCTGGCCCAGTGGAGTAGGGGAACGTTTTCAGAGGAGGAAGCCACAGGAACGGAAGGCTCCACGGCCCCGCTGAGAGGAGGGGGAGAGCCCAGGGTCCAGGGCCGTGCATCAGCCTCGCCTGGGCCCCTGGCCACACAGGAGCATATTTACGACCAGTGCAGACCCTGGGGAGGCAGGACGTGTCCTCAAGCATCAGGATCAGGAGACTCCAGGCCCCAGGAGGCTGGCTTGCTGGGCAGGGCTCCTCGTGGACGCAGGGCCAGCCACCCATCCGCACCTTCCCTTCCTTGCCAGTTCTCTCCAAATTGTTGCTCTTTGCACTGCTGCTGAGCCTCCTGACCACAAGCACGGGGCTCTGTCTGACCTGCACTGACCTTGGGACACCCGCCGACCTCTGTAGCCCTGGCTTGAGTCTTCCCTTTACCCCCGGCTCCTGGTCCCTCTTTCCTCCCAGGATTAGCCACTAAACTATGCACATCTCCTGGGGGCTTGCAGAGGTTGTCACTGTGTCCCCAGCTGACACTGCCCAGCTCAGGATCTGGGCCCATGCAAACACCCTGCCTTTGACAGTCCCAGACATCCCTTGTGGAGAGAAAGTGGACACAGAGATGGAGGGGACGGTAGCCCAAGAGGTGTCTGGCCAGGTCTGACCCAGGCCTCGTGAGGAGTTTGCCCAAGTTTATAAGGTGAACTTGAGGCAGGTGAGAGCCAGGTGCCACCAGTGTCTCTGGGGCCTTCCTCAGTCTCTCATGACATCTGTGCAAAGTAAAGACGTCTGAGCCGCAGCGCTGCGTGTGCCTGCGACAGGGGCCTATCCGCAGGACGTCCTGCCACAGGGGTACCTTCGGCTCATGTGTCCTGTGTGCGATGCCTTTCTACGTCATTTCTGCTTCAGTCCAAAAACGTGGTTCATTCGAGAAAGTCCAGAAAACATAAGACGACAACGGACAAGAGGCAGAGAAAAATGTCAATAATCGCTCCCCAAGGGAGTCACCACCAATGACACTATGACCTGCTCCTAGCCTTTCTTCTGCCCCTAGAGGGACATGCGGGAGTTGGGCACGGTGTGCGTCTGCGCCGTCAACGTGGTCCTGCCCCCGTGCCTGTTCCTCCCGACGTATCAGCTGATTTGATCTGCTGAGGTAAGTGTCGATGGACCTCCTCCTCACGTCACTGATGAAATGAGCCCTCTTCTCCGCCACACTTCCCGTTGTCTGCAGCTCCGGAACATTCTTGATGAGGGTCCGTCAGGGTCCGGGGGCAGGCTAGTGGCAACCCGACCTTCCCTGGAATGAAGTGCCCCACAGCGTCCTTCTCCACCTCTTCACGGGACCTGTGGTCTCCCTATGGGGACTCTCTGGTCTGGGGGGTCGGAGGGTGGTGGGTCGACCACAGGTCCCCTGCGCCCCGAGTCCCACTTCTGCTGCGTCCTGGCTCTTGGCAACTTGGTTACTGATGTCGACTTCTTGGGGCTTTGTGGGTGAATAGGTTGCCCATATTCTTACTGTCCGCAGTAGTGACCGGAACTAGGTGTGCCTCTGCAGGGACAGTTCATAAGAGGACGGAGGGCAATCCGTCGACCGCCCCGGCCCACGTTCCCTAGAGACGAGCGAGCACCCGCAGAGCCTCCCAGCCCCGACACCCACACACTGTTCAAAGGAGCACAGCAAAGGGCCCGGGGCTGCAGGGCACGGGGTGCTGCTTGGGGCTGGAAATGAGGGCCTCCCACACCCTGGGATTAAAGGGTGAGGGGAGGGCACAGACAGGGAGGGCCGCGGGACGGGCACCTAGCAGGGGGCACGCCACTGGCTGCTCCAGAGAGTGCTGGGAATCAGCAGCCTGACGTGGTGAGCAGGGGGCTGTTGGTTCAGCCTCGAGGACCCCAAGCAGGCAAGGGTAAGGGCCAAGGGACAGAGGAAGATGTGCAGCGGCAGCATTTTTCTATTGATCTGAGGATGCTCTTTATTATCATGGCGCTGCCCATCCCTCCAGCAGCCACGACAGGACCCCCTCTCATCTGCACTGTCCTGCGTGAGCCGGGGCCCGTGGGACCAGCACAGGCTGTGCCTGGGGACATTTCTGCCATCAGTATCAGGTTTGTCAGGCTTCCTGCCTACTAAACAGATAGTGCTAGGCAGCTTTAAAAATGTCGCCTCTGGCAGAGAGATGCGCCCGGGATTCAGCGCGGCACGGGCAATCACAGGGAATTACCATCAATTTATTTGGAAGGACTAAAAACAGCAGCATCGAGGGCTGGAGAAGCCGCACTCGGGCTCCCGGGAGAGTCCGGTTGTCAAGGTAAACACCAGAGTCCCTGCTTGCAGGAGGCAGGCACAGGGGGCTTCCAGGGACCCCCACTCCTGACGTTCAAGTCTCTCTGTGATCCCCTCCCACGCTGGACAGGGCCAATCTGTGTGACCAACAGGACATTGTGGAAAGGAAAATGTGACTCTGAGATTGGGGTCCAAGAGACGAGTGTCTTCTGTCTTCCCCCCCAGGAAGCTGACCACTCGGGCAGCCCGAGGAGAGATCTGAGGCCTCCTGCCCACCGCCAGCTCCCACTGGCAGCCGTCCAGCCCTTCCGAGCCGAGCAGCCCAGCAGACAGCCTGGTGGCTACCTCTCGAGGAACCAGGACAGACCCTCCTGGCCACACTGCTGCCGGCTTCCTGACTCACAGAAACTGGGAGCTGCGTGTGGTTAGCACTACGTAGCCAGGGGGCGTTTCTTGGGCGTCAGTAGATAACCAGGGAATGGCTAGCTGCCAACCTAGGCTGCAGTGCCAGATCCAGGCAAAGCCCAAGGTCTGGGTGCCGGTGTGGACCCAGCCCCGCGCCCATAGCACGGGCTGCCCGGCCACTCAATGTCACAGTCTTTGAGATCAGAGCTCAGGGCTGAGGCTCTGGAACTTAAACCTCTCTGCAGAGCCACTGCCACCTTTTGGCCTCGGTCTTCCCTCTGTAAAAGGAAGGAGCTAAGAAGGACACTTCCAGCTTGACCTCCTGAAGTCCACAGAGGCCATGTGAGACCCCCTCCCCTCCTACACCTGCCTCCATGACAGGGGCCAAGTCGGGCTGCACAAGCACCCAACTCGAAAAGCACCAGAGCAGAGCATCCCTCTGGTGACCCAGCTCTCTGGTGTTCATTTCCAGAGAAGAAACTGTGCAGATATATAGAAAGAGTTATCATGGACACCGGCCCCAGTGATGATTACACAGGATGAACGTCCCGTGATCTGCCATCTGCAACCTGGAGATAGAGGACAGCTGCTGGTTCAGCTCTTGTTCAAGACAGAAGGCTCAAGCCCAAGAGATGCTATGTCCAGGGAAGGAGATGGACATCTGGAGAAGAGAGAGAACAAACTCACCTCTCATCTTAGCCTGTTTTCTGTTGCCATTACTAAACACCCGAGGCCAGTACTTTATAAAGAGAAGAGGTTGTTTAGCTCCCAGATCAAGAGCATGATGTGGCTTCAGTGGACTCCAGTGGCAGGGAGGTCACTGGTGAGAGAGGGAGGAAGTGGTCACTGGTGAGAAAGGGAGCAAGTGCACCCAGATGGCTGACCTTACTTTATTCAACCCACTGTCAAGGGAACCAGTGCAGGCCCAGCAGTCCTGGCTCACTCCTGTGCAAAGGCTCTGATCCCTTGCATGGGGGAACCTGAGACCCAACCGTGCCACAGCCCTACCTCTTAAAGGGCCCACTACCTCTCAGTACCGCCACAGGGATCAGTCAGACATTCGCAGACCACAGCAACCTCCCTCTGCTTTCTGTTTGGGTAGCTCCCACAGACGGGGTGAAACCCACTAGAGGGGGTGGGACCCACTGACTGGATCCGGTGCTGATCTCTTCTGGAAGCGCCTCACAGACACACCTAGAGCAAGGCCACCAGCTCCCGGGGCACCACTGGGCCCAGCTGAGTGACACATGTAACTGACCCTCACAGTCCCCTGTAACTCCTTTTGAAAATCGAGGCATGTTTCACGTGCCACAGAATCCCCGTTTCACAGTGTCCTGGGCTTCCGAACACACAGTTGTGCAACCTCACCACTACCTGATTCTCCTCTGCCTCATCACCCCAGAGGAAGCCACGCCCACCCGGCCCTGCCCCGGCCCTGGAGACGGGCTACTTTCTGTTCCTGCAGGCTTGCCTCTCGGGACACTTCAGAGCGCGAATCCCACAACACGCAGCCTTCGCTCCTGGCTTCTTGGAGTTACGGCGGCAGGGACCAGCTGAAGGCTATTCCACTGACCACAGGCTGCCTAGCCATTCACCCACAGGTGGACAGCAGGCTGTGCCCACTTCATGGCTATCATGCATAGAGCTGGCCCACCCCCAGGACAGGAATGAGCCAGAGGAGCTGTCCCTCTGCTTAGGGGACACCAATCCTGCACCTACATTTTGATTAAGTCCGTTTGTGGGTTGGCTGCAGGAAGACCCTGCCCTCTGGATGGGGAAAGGCATGTGCTTTTGTTGACGAAAGGCAGGCAGGGCCCAGAGACTCGAGCCCCCTCCCCTAATCCCATCTTCCTGAAGTTCAGTCTCCCCTTGAGCCTGGGGTTGAATGACACCAAGAGGCCGGGGGTCAGGAAGGACCCCTTGCCATGGCAAAGCATGCTGACCTTGCCACTGGACCCTCCCAGGTGCCCCAGAGGCCCAGGACCAGCATGCCTACTCCCTCCCCATTGCCTCCAGGAGGCTCGGGGCTGAGTGAAGGCCCTGGAGTTGGCCCGGCCTCTGCCCAGCCTGTGGCAGCAGAGGGGCTGCTGAGTCCACCCCTCAGTTCTCCTTCTGTACCATGGCGGTAACAACACCTGTGCAGGGACAGGTGCTGGGGCCATGGCGCCACCACCAGGTGGGATGGCGGGGCCCATGAGCAAAAACCCACTCTGGGGAGCAAGCGACCGAGTACATGGCAGAGGAACAAAGCTGGCTCTGCGTGCTGCACCAGGTGGGGGGTGGGCTGGGCACAGGTGGCCCTGCCCCACGTGTGGCCTTGTTGACTGCTTGGAGGCTGGGTGCCCCCACGGCTGCACACCAGGTCCAGGAAGTGGCCGGCCTGCCTGCGGTCCCTCGGTGCCCTCCCCTGCCAGCCTGGTCCCTGCAGCCTGGCCTCAGAGGGCCGGAGCTCCAAGGCTGGGCTGAGCTGGAGACCAGGCCTCCTGCCCTAGCCCGGGACCACCCTCCATCCTGGTCTGCACCCGCTAAAATACACGATAAAGGGAGGGGGACCAGGCAGAGGGTGAAGGGGAGGAAAATGAAGTGGTTCTGCCTGACTCTTCCTCCCAAGGCCTCGTACAGGGAGGAGGAAAGGGGCTGGGCCACTCTTCCCTGGTCCCACGCCTCAGACACCGGCTGCCTGCCCCCCAGGTGACGATATGGCCATCCGTCCACAGACGGGGCCATCCAGTCCCTGGGTGGCCGGCCTGCAGGCCCAGGGCAGAGCCATGGGCCCAGCTGCACCTGCGGGCTGGAGACCTTAAAGCAGGTTCTGCAAAGATGGAGCTTTGGCCCATTCCTGCCCTTGAAGCTGGAGCCCGGCCTCCTCTGTGTGTCCTGGAGAGCTGTGGGTGTCCCACCCACTGGCATGTCCTGCCCCCCAAGGGCACCCAGGCAGGTGGCCAGGGGTGGCCTGTGGGCAGCTCAGGCCTTCATCCCACCAAAAAGCCTTGAGACGGACATTTCCTGTGATGCCTGAGGTGCTGGCCCTGCCACTCCAAAAGGTGTGACATGCGGCCTGTGGAGAAGCCAAGCCCCAGGGCTGGACACAGCTCCACGGTAGCACTGTTGCCCAACATGTGAGGCCCCGGTGTGGTCAGAGGAGCCAAGACTCAGTCAGGGCCCCCGCTCCCGTAGGGCCGGCCTCCAGGGAGCCAGGCAGGGCAGAGCCACTGATGAACGTGAGGTCCTCACTCCACCCAGAAACCACTTACATGGACTTCCCTGTGCGGACCCCGGGCCCTCAGACTGGCCTAGCTGGAAGCAGGGTGGGTGCCGATACACCTGGTGAGCTCGGGTCCTGGTGGAGTCAGACGGGCTCCTGGTCCAGTGTGTCTAGTGCCCTCTGAGGACAGCAGGTGAAGACAGACCCGGGGAGAAGCCACATGCAGTGGGGGCAGGCCGAGTGACGCGAGGCCGATGAAGCCATGCCAAGCCTTACTGACCCCCCACTCGCACACGAGGACGACGCGGGTCCCTTCTCCTCACCAGGCCCTGGCACAACTCAGGGTGCAGGAATAGTGGCCTCCCTGGCCCAGCTGTGTGCTGGAAAGTTTGGACACAAGGTGGGCTTTCCCTGGGGTCGGACTCGGCCGGCACAGCTGTTTCGGAGTCCCAGAAAGCCGGGCGCTGGAGGCGAGCAGGCACCGAAACGTCTCCCTCCCGCCCCTTCTCAGAGGCGAAGGAGATCACCGTCCGCTGGTCTGACCTCAGTCTCCATCCCAGGCCTCAGGCCCTGGAAAGGCCCAGCAGGTGGACTGGAACTACATCACCATGACTGGGCGGGTCACCAGCATTGGGCTAGGCCCTCCTGGTCACCCCACCCCGAGGACTTGGCCCCAGAGATGGAGACCAAGGCCTGCGGCAGTGGGCAGCCCACACCCCAACCTGCTTCACTACCTGCACCTGGTGGAGCCCCTCCCCCGGGCTGCTCCTCCCATGCTTCCCCCTCCTGAGGAGGATGTGTCCTTCCTGGGGGACGGTCCACAGGTAGGCTGGCCCTCACAGAGTCCACACTCCAAGGCAGGGTGTGGGAGTTAGGATCTGCTAGGCTAGGGGCAGTCAGAGATCAGAGCCACAGCCCCAGGCCCAGTGACCAGCTGTGCCAACCCTGACCAGGGTAAGGACCAGGGTGAGCAGGAAGTGATTCTGTCTGACTGATGGCTAGAGTTGTGGTGGGCTCAGCAGGAGTTTGGATCTGGGCTGGGTCTTATCTGAGGGCACTGGGGAGCCACAGAGGGGTTTAGAGGAGTGCCATGGGTGAACTTCTGGAAGACACTTCAGAGGCCAGGTGGGGAGGGAGGGCGGGCATAGAGGCAGGCTCCTGTGAGGAGGTGGAGGTCGTCATGGCTGGGGGACACCAGGACCAGGCAGTGTGGCATGGCCAGAGTGGAAAAGGGTGGGGCACTTGCCATTTCTGCCTGGCTTGTTTCTCAGAAGGCCGCTGTCCTGGCCAGGGGCTGACCTCCCCCCACCCCCACCAGGTAGGCTGGTCCCTGGCTGGCTCTTTGTGGGAATTGGGGATTTCTAGCATGTTCTTAGCCAGCCACCTGGGCTGTTCCATGAGCTCATGTCTTGAGGGGTGCGGGTCTAGGCGCTACTGGTGTCCACAAAGAGGTCCCCACAGGAGGCAGATGAGGTCCCGCCCCACAGGTCTCCCTCGTCCCCATCAGAAAGTAGCCAAGGTGATGGCGCAGTGCAGGTGGGTAGGGGACATAGGCCTGTGCTGGGGACAGAAGCTGGGCAGGGAGCCTCAGTGTGTGCGTGAGGTCCTGTGGCAAATTTCCAGGGCCACCCAAGGCCCAGGGCAGCCTCAGGCTGGGCATGGACGCCCTCCCAGAGTCAATGCCCGGGTCTGGGCACACTGAGGCCCAAGGAGCAGACCTGCCTCTCCCCTGGTGACGGTCACCTTGGGAGGATGGAGGCCAGCCCTCCTGGCCCAGGGCACCCCACCCCGCCTCCACCTCCAAAGGTCGGGTCCTAGGGGATCAGGTGTCTGTGAAAACTATCCCCCGAGAATCATCCGGAAGCTCCATTTCCAGACAGGGCTAGGGTTCCCGAGGTTGCCCCGAGCTTGCCATCCACGTGACAGGTGGAATAAACTCCTTCGCCTCAGCTGGGAGCTTGGGGTCCTTGTTGGGTCATTTGTCCACTCAGCTGATTTCTATCAAGGCCCCGCTAGCATGGGCTGGAGGGACAGCGATGACCAGACAGAGGCAGCCTTCAGGGAGTTTGCAGTCAGGGAGGAGAGGAGCCTGCCCCACTCTTCATGTTCCTAGTGACCATGGCACCATGCCTGGGCTGGGAGAAGGGCAGTGGGCAGCGGGCAGTGGGCAGCGGAGCTCCTGGGCAGGGATTCAAACCACAGCCTCCAGCCCATTGCCGGAGACCTCTGTCTGGCCATTGGGAAGCTGCGCTCCGCAGCCCGGGGAGGAGCAGCCAGCAGCCCGGGTGCCACCCAGGTGCTTGCCAGCCACTTGTGGCCCAGGGACTTGCTGGTCTTCAGGGGCCGCCAGTTCAGGAGATGGAGCAAACTTGACGTGCCAGATCCCAAGCCAGAGACTGCCTCAGTCCCCACGGGAGTGGCAGAGACGGCGGGTCCCTGCCAGCCCCCAGCCAGGCCACAGTGGCCTGCTGGGAAATTGGCACCTGCTCCCCGCCAGCTGCTGGTTTTCTCGAGGGCGCGCTGGGTGCCAACTGCTTCGACTTGTTTGGAATGGAAATCTCCCCTTCCTGATACTATTGTCACTGGTACGTCCCCCCAGAAGCGGGGATCTGGACGTGCCGCGGCAGCAGCAGCCTGCCCTCCCGGGGCATGAACAAGCCCATCTGTTTCCACTTTGGATGTGGCGGAGGCTCAGGGCGAGGGCTGCCGTCTGAGCCCACAGATGCTGAGCAGAGGCGGGGGACAGCACCCACGGCACCCACGGTGGGAGAAGTGCTTGGATGGAGACAGCCACCGCTGTGGGGCTGAGGCCAGGGCGCCCCGGCCAGCCCCCCACAGCTGCACAGGTTTGGGGTCCCAGAAGCTCTTCTTCCTGATTGCCACAGAGGCCAATATGGGCTCCCTGACTTTGCACCCCTCTGGCTTCCCTGCAGGTCCTCGGGACCCCCGGCCTGCCAAGCCCAGCTCCAGCCTGCCCCCCTGAAGCTGCCCAGACCCCGTGCTGTGGCACCACATGGTGGGTTTAGGGCAGGGCATGCCCTTGCTCAAGGTTGAGCACAAACCTCAGAGACCCACAGCCCCAGGTTGTCTCCCACCTACCCTGTCCACCTGTGTCACCTCCGGGTCCTATGCACAGCAGGGGCTCTGTGGGCTCCAGACCTCAGAGAGGAGGAGGGGCTTGTCAATACTTGACTGGCAGGTGCATCCTAAGTAACATCGTATTTCAGGATCAAATTACGTTGCATGCACATACAAAGGTGGCATAGTGAATCCCACCCCTGTGCCTGACTGTGATGCACCAACAGAAAATCAACTGAAGAGACAGACTCACGTGGCCCTCTGGGCAGTCTTGGCAGGAGGCTGAATGAGGTGCCCAACCTGAACCCCATGGTGGGGAGCTGGCAGGGAGCTGCTGCCCCACGTCTGCATCTTCAGCCCAAGGCCAGGTGACCATGCTCCTCCACGCCCTACCCCCCACCCCGGCTCCAATGGGGCAAAGGACCCCCAGAGCAGCCCCCGCCCCAGGGAGCCCAGAGAGGGCTGGGAGCCCCAAGGACCAGGTTGCCATGGAATCACGAGGGTCTTACTGTCCACCAGGGACCCAAGCCAGGTGTCAGCAAATTCCAGCAGTTAACATGTCCTGTGACAAAAATGGCCCTGGCTGGAGAAAGGAGCCCTAGAATTTCCTAGGACGAAATTTCAAAAAGCAAAGCTGTCACAGAAATCCAGATATGTTTATCCTCGAGGAGAGGGGCTGCGGGGCTTGCCGACCGTGGGGCTCCCAGGAGGTCAGTCCCCGCCCGGATCACTCCTGGCCTGCCCCATTCTGGCCGCCACAAAGCCATCCCAGTCCTCCTCACCCAAGGCCAGCGTCAGCTCTGGAGCCCGCCCCCTCTGGTCACCCCCTGGTGGGAAGTGGCTCACAGGGGAGGGGGCCTCTGTCACCTGGGGTCTGGCAGCTGGTTTGCCTTTCCTAGGATTGCTTGGGCAGCCCTGGGCAGGCAGGCAACCTTTCCATCGGGCCACCTTGGCCAGGACATAGGAGTCCCACTGTCCTGCAGGAGGGACCCCTTTGTGGCTCCCCACCCAGTAGAGGGGAGGGGCGGCTGGTGGCTTCCTCCCGGCAGGGTGAGGAAGGGCTCCGTGTCATTAATCCCCTGGGGTGAGTCCCCCAGCTCCCGCTGAGCTGGCCCCTGCTCCAGCAGCCAGGGCCTCGATCCCAGGTGCATGACTGTCACCAAGATAAAAGAGACATAATTAAATTCCAATCAACTGGGTGATTTGTTATCATAATGTAATATTTCCCTCCAGCCCCTTAATCCCACAGATCTGCCTCCGCCAGGGCTGCGGGTGGGGGTCCCTGCCACTCTGGGCCCAGCTGCTGGAGCCCCTGCCCCCACACACTCGCCCTCCCCCAACGCCAAGCCCTGAAGGTGATAATGAAGTCATTTTTCTGAGGAATGCTCACCTGGAAGACAGCTTGTCCTCCGGCCAGCCAGCTAATCGGCTAATCGAGCTGGGGAGGCAGGCCCAGGGGCAGTGGGGTGAGCAGGGCGGGCCCTGATGCGTGCTGTGCTGGGAGCCTGCTGCCCCGTAGGGGGGGGCCGTGTGGAGCCTCCAGCAGAGACCCTGCCCGTTGGCCAGTGTGCACAGGGAGGGGAACACGGGACCTGGCGCCAGGGTCCCGGGAGAGATGGATCTGCTCTGTCGCAGCACGGCTGAGGCGGAGGGCAGAGCCTGGGCTCACACGGGGCCACTGTGCCACCTTCCTGGGGCCTCAGCTCCCCGTCTTTGAGGTGAGCCTCCTAACGCTGGGCCACTTGAGGAGGGGGAGCCCCGAGCCAGGAGGCAGAGGCCGTCTCCCTGCCTCCCTGGGGCCTGTGTTAGAGAGGCCGAGGGGCCACCCTGAGGGGGGCAGGGCTCCTGGGGAGGAGGTCACTTTGTTTACACCTCTCGCCCATTCTGTGGCTTCCACGTTTTCTAGATACGGGTCTGTCGACTGTCACGGGGTGGGAGCCCGAGCTCTGGGTGGCTGGGCAGGCTGAGGACCCAGGCAGCTCGGAGCTCATCCTGGGCAGGCCTGCCGGCCACAGGGTGCAGGGCACAGGGGCTGTCAGTGGCAGCAGGACCCCTAGACAGCAGCTCCCATACCTCTCCTGGGCCTGCACAGCTCGGGTGTGGACTGGTCACCTCTGAGACCCCATCTTCAGCAATGCAGCCTTCCCTCCAAGCTGCAGGGCCAAGGAAGTCACCTGCTTGCCCTTCCTCCTACCTGATTCTCCCAACACCCGGGGACTGGGAGAAGGAAACAAGGCCAGAGTGGGTGCCCAAAGCCACACGGCTCTGAGCGCCAGAGCTGGGGTTCGACTGCAGTGGAAGGACCCCAGAGCTGGGCTCTCGACCTCCCCAAAGGCTGCACCTGTCTGATCGAGGTCTGCACAAGCTTCGCTGCTGGGAAAAGTGATGGACGCACATTAGGGACAGGAAATGGACACTGTGTCCAAGTCACACCATTGAGGAAATAATGAAAAACAACCCACATTTTGACTCAAGGGATTATGATGCAATTTCTCAATAAACATAAAAATTCTCTACAATAAATAAAAGGAACAAAATTAAAACTTGGTGGGGTGGAATCTCCAGTGGTTCTCAGTTGGTGGACTTCAGAGTTTAAGACTCTTCTCCCTGGGTTCGGCTCAAGGGCTGGTGAAGCCAGACCAGTGAGCATCTGGCGACCCCCCCAGGAGCTGCTGTGAGGTTCCCTTCCCAGGGACACAGAGGGTCACGCAGGCAGGTGAGGCTGGTGGAGCTGAGGCTACGGCTCCTGTGGTGGGACACACCACCCAGGCTGGAAGGCCAGGGACACAGGGGCGGGGGGGCTTCTGGGCTGCACGACTGTGGCCAGCTCCCCCCTCCAGGAGTGGGCCCCTCCTGTGCAAAGAACAGCACCCAACCGCTACCGGCCATACCACCCAGCTGTGCTGCAGAGCCTTGCGCCTGCCTACAGAAACTAGGTGTCCAGGCCCCTGGACCCAGCAGCACAAACGCAGGGACTGGAGCCCTCAGCAGGTGCCCAGAGCCCCGGCAGGAGGCCCCGGAGCTGTGCCTCTGCAGGTAACCTGGAGCACTCGGGGTGCAACACCAACCCCCAGGCCTTTAGAGCCTGCCCTGCATGTGAAGCAGGCTGGTGGGTGAGGAGGCCGCCACAGAACAGGCCTGGCCCCAGGGCCTCTCCTTCCTGCCCCAGGCAGTTCTGCTCCAACTGAGCTCCCAATAACAGCCTAACGCTGGGCGGCAAGCAAGGGCCTGGTGCCCCGAGAGCCAGTGCTCTTGGCTGCCTGGGGAGGCCCAAGGGCCACGCTCCATGGAGAGCTGGCCCTGGTGATTAGTCCTGTCTGCCACAGGGCAGGAGAGGCCCTGCCAGTGAGGGCCTGGCTGCTCCCTGTCCCCGCAGAGACCACTTCATGTATCCCTCCAGAGTGTCAGTCACACCTTCTGAGGCCTTCATGACATGTCCTAATGTACCCCGCCAGGCAGCCACCCACCCATCAGTCCACCTGTCCATTTGTCCACTCATCATCTTGTCCACTCCTCATCCGTCCACTCATCCCATGGCCTTCAGCTAAGTTCTGCAGGTAAGGGTGTTGGAGGGTGAGCAGGGGCCTCCGTGTGGCCTGTCTCCAGATCGCCCAGGAAGCTCCATGCCTGGCTGCACAGAGTGCCCTGGACAGGAGAGGACCTATAGGAGCCGCCCCAGATGACCAGCAGCTCCACGAGGGCCCTGAGCCCCGTGAAGGAATTTGAGAGGGGAGTGGAGGGGGCTGGCATGGGGCCTGTGCTTCCTGGGGGACAACCTTCCAGCACAGGGACATGAGGGGACCGAGCGCACACGTGGAGGTGGACACAGGACAGTGTTGTGCAGAAGGGGCCCAGAGGACGGGGTCTCGGTAACGAGACCTGGACTCCAGCTTTGACTCCCTCTCACCTGGGCCTCGGCGTCCTCCTCTATGGAGCGGAGGTGCTGGCCCAAGTCACAGCAGCTGTGTGGACGCACAGCCATAGGCTCGGGGCTGGACACACGTCCTGGACCAGAAGGAGCAGCCCCTGGCTGCCTGGACACTCGCCCACAGAAGGAGGCCAAAGCCGGGCCCCCAGGTGGCGCGGACTTCCGGGAGGCATCCCGCTGGCTCCCAGCTGCAGGAGGGAAGAGCGCGTAGGGAAGGGCCCGGCCTCGGCACAGAGCGAGAACTGGGGAGCGCGGCAGCCCGTGCCAAGGTGGTTACAGCAGCCCTATTCATCAGCGGGGAACTGGAAACCTCCCAGCTGCCCAACAATGGTGTTGGGGAAGCCAGCGGCCGCGCAGGCAGCTGTGCGGGCCCTGTGGGCACACAGCTCTTGGCAGCATCGGCAGCGGAGGCGGGCAGCAGGCAGGACCAGCCGTGTGGGCACGCTGGAGGGCCAGGCAAAGGAGGGCACATGCGGGGGACAGTGGGTTGTGGTCTCCCGTGTCCCTGTCCCCTGGCTCCTTGGGAAGCCTCAGGGTCTTGCTGTCTACCTTATAGTGTAGAGAAGGGGTTTTGGTGTCCCCCGGCTGGGGACATTACAAATGGTTCTTGTCCCAGTGCCTCTGTCCTGCTGGGCCTCGGTTTCCTCACCCCTGAATAGGGTGGCCACTGTTGTGAAGCCAGAGAACGGGCCTGGCCTGGCCAGCAGGTGTTCAGGAAGTGCCTCTCGGATGGCGAGGCTACGAGGGGAGGGGACCGCAGAACTGCAGGCTGCCTCGCGCCTCTGTGCTTCCAGACACTGCACCTCTGCTCGTCTCCCACTCCACCCTGCAACCCCTGCCCGGTGGCTGCTCTCCTGAGCGTGTTGGCAACGGGGGCCCACAGGCCTCTGCCTGCTCTCAGGCCGGGGCCCAAAGACCTGAGTGGGCAGCGGGTGGGAGGGGAGAGCCAGGACTACCCAGCCCACGCTCATGCTGGAGCCCAGGCATGGCACTGTAGGCCTGGCCAGTCACTGGGGGACCCTCTGTCAGGGGTGCAGGCCCCTGGGGAGGGAGGTGTGTGGGGGGGTGCAGAGGGGCTCGAGCTACAGCTGCGTGCCTGCAGAGCAGGGAGCCGAGGGGTCTCCCCAGCCCTCACCTGGGGCGCCGTGCAGGCCTTGGCCTGGGAAGTGGACACCCTGCGCTCTCAGGACAGGTGAGGGAGGCGCCTCCTGGTTCCTCACAGCCTCCAGCACTCAGGGAGCAGAGACCCAGGCCCCTGACCCCACGAGCCCGGCCAGCCGAGGGTTTGCAGAAGCTCAGCCAAGTCTGAGCCCCAAGGTGGGCGTTTCCGGGATCCCTCAAAGCGCTTCCAGCCATGATTGCCCGAAGCCGGGCGCTCCACAGCCCTTCTCCGTCCTCATCCTATTTGTTCACAGCTGTCACCACATTTCATAAATTCCTCATATAAGGAAACCGGGTCTCAGTTCTCAGACACCCGCGGCCGAACCAGAATCAAGCTAGGCCCTGAGTGGCACTTCTCTCTCTCTGTTGGATTCAGTGTCCCACCCTTGGCGCCAAGGACAAAGTCCAAGAGGGGTGGGCATGACAACTGCTCCCTCTGTGTCCCTGTGTCCAGCCCCACCACCCCTCTCTGCCACCAGCGGCGTCCTCAGTGTCCTGCAGCCCCCCAGCCACATGCCTCCCTCCCTCCCCTGGACGGCGCTGGGCTCCGGCTCTGCAGACCTGGGGTGGGCCTCGGGAACCCGCAAGAAGAGCTGAGCACGTAGGACCCATTTTCTCGGATGAGTTATAATTTTCCTTCATTTCCCCTTCAAAACACGCTAATTAAACGGACATTGTGGAGACAGCCCATTGAAATTCAAAAACGCACCCTCTCTCCAAAGAACATCCCCGTTTCTTTGGAGGCAATTGTGTGCATTGTGGAAACTGGGCATGGACGCGCACACGTGCGCACACACGCGCGCTGAGCCCGGTGCAGGCGCCGCCTCACCTGAACGGTGTGCTTCCTGCCAGGAGGGTGGCTGGCGGCCTCCTGCTTCTCCGCCAGCTGCCTTCACCACGAGGCCCTGAAAATGGTGCTCTTGTCTCTCACAGCCGTGCCACTCTGCAGTGGGGCAGTGACCCCTGGGGGCCGTCCACCCTTCCATGTCCTCTTCCAGGGCATTGTCCCTCTGCAGCCCCTGCTGTGCCCCTCACTGATCCCACCGAGGCTTCTGCACCAGCCTGAGGATGAGAAGGTGGCCTTGGTGAGCCACCCTGACCCTGGGCATCACCTCTGGGTGACAGAGAGAGCAAGGTCCCAAGGTGCCACAAGAAACAGCCTCTCCAGGGAGGGAGCTGGGCCTTGAGGGCAGCGGGACTCACCTGGGGCGGCCCCTGCTTTTGGATTAGTGACCAATACTCAGCAAACCGTCCACCTAGGGGAACACCAGGGAGCAGTGCTCTGCGAGAGGGCCACTGGGGCCGGATGGAGTGCTACCAGAGCCCCCCTGGGAGGGCAGCCACCCCGCTGGGCCACATAGCTCAGCATCACAGGCCCCTTCTACCCTTCCACGCTCTGCAGGCGGAGGCTCTCCGCCCTCATTCTGTGTCTGCGGCTTTCCCACAGCTCTCTCTGCATGGGGCCGCTCACGGACATGTCCAGCCCCTGCAGGAGGACTCCTGGCAGTCTCCGGCCAGGGTCACTGTGAACGAGGCGGGGGTGGCCACTCGCCTGTCTCCGAGTGGCCGTTGGGCAGGTCTCTGTCAGTCACAAACCTGGGAGTGGGACTGCAGGGTTACTGAAGAACGTGACAAACACCTCAAAGAACCCTGTGGACAGTGTCCAGTGCAAATCACAGGCTCCTTCTCAGGCCAGTTCCTCTTGTCCCTTCCCCATGGACATGGACCCTCCTGGCCTGCAGTCCCCCTGCTGCAATCCATCCTGCTGGCCAGCCTGATATTGTGCTCTCTAGAAGGTGAAGTTGGCCGTGTGGCTGAAATGACCACCCTGGCCTCTGCAGCTGGGAAGCAGCCTCAGGACTGCCGAACACCACTGTGGCAATGCCAATCCCATCCAGGGCCCTGGGCACCCAGTTGTGCCTCAGGGGTGCACCCCACCTGGTCACAGTGGCCTCAGGACCCTTCATGACCTCCCACCCCTGCTGCCTCCAACCACTGCCTTGGTGTTGGCCTCCCCTCAGGCAGGGGAGCCCCAGGCTCCAGCCCTGGGACTTCACCCCATTTCTAGGCTCCCTGCCTCCCTCCTCGGGCGTGGTCACCGTGAGGTCACTCACCCTCAGAACCTTTCTCCACGCAGCCAGTGCATCTCCGAGGTCCATGTGTGGCTGTGCCCCCAGGCTGACGAGGCCGTGAATGCCGAGGTCAGCTGGCATTTAGGCAAGCAGGAATCGGAGGGACCATCGTCACAGGAGGACGTCCCACGCCCTCAAGGACTCAGCTTCCCAGTGCCAGGGCATTTGGCCCCTTCTGCCCAGAGCCTGCCCACAGCCTCAGGGGCGGGCAGCATCGGGTCCTGCCCGGCTCCCCAGCCAGGACGCGAACACCCAAGGCTAGGCCAGGACTGGGCCCTGACTCCTGCTTCAGGAAACGGAGACCACCCATCCCTGGACCTCCCTGCCCCTCTCAGGCCCACACCCCCCTGCTGCCAGGCCCCACACCTTGATGCCAGGGTGGGCGGGGCTCCGTGGGGGTCCTGGGGAGGCCTCACTCCTTCCTCATGGGCCCCTTCATGCCCAGAAGAGCAGGAGAACAAGTCCCGGAGGCAGGGGGTGTCAGACCACGCACCTGGCACCCCCTGGCCTGCCACCAGACCCTGTCCAGGTCCAGGACACAACTGCCCCCAGCAGAGCCATCGGGAGCACCGCCGGGGACAGGCAGGCCACAGGCCAAGCTGCCACCCCTGCCCAGGACAACTGGCACACATGCCAGGCCGTGGGCCGGTACCAGTGAAGGGGCTGCCTGGTCTGGAGGATGACCTGCCCATCTCCTCGCCTGTGTCCAGATTGTCCACACCTGGGGAGAAAGGAAGGGGTCAGCATGTCTTCTGAGCTGTCCCAGCCCTGCCCTAGCTAGACTCCCTGTGCAGGAACCCCAGGCCAGGTCTGGGCCACGGGCAGTCCAGCGCTGGGTCATTACATCTCTACCCCCTGGGGTCTGGGTGGCCCCCAGCCCCAGCCCACCCCAGTCCGCCTGCACCTCCACCTGAATCCAAGAGGCACAGAACTAACGCAGCTGGCCAGGGGAGGGGGCTGCCCTGCCCACCCTGGGTCGGCAGTGACCCCAATCACATGTCCTCCCCCAAGCTGGGGGCATGACCAACAGGGTCTCTGTCCACTCCGGGGGCTGGGTTGGGGACACAGGGTCTTTGTCCACTCTGGGGGCTGGGTTGGGGACACAGCTGGGCAACAACAGGGAGAAGGGTACAAGGACAGGCAGCCGTATGGGGGCCATGGGGGATTCCGGCACCAGGGTCAGCCTGGCCTGGATAGGAGCCTCTCCTGCCTCCAAGCCGGCCTGGCCCTCCCTCTCACTAGGGCAGCGGGTAGGGGTAGGGAGCGCTTCCTACTTCTGCCTCCACAGAGCAGATCTTCAGCCAACAAGACAACTGGGTGGGCATATTTTGAGCACCTGCTGAATACAGCACAGTACTGATGCTTGTCCTCCAGTCCCCAGCCCTGGAGGCTCAGAGGAGCTCAGAGACAGTGGGCGCCCGGCAGGGGAGCCAGAGCCCTGCCTGCTGGACACCAGCTCCCGGCTCCCCGCTCCAGCCTCCCCCTGGTCCAAGCCCACAGCAGGGGAAGCCTGCCCTGGCCCCCACCCAGCTCTCTAGGGGAGCAGTGGAGCCTGTGGGGCTGCGTCCCCACAGCCAGATCAGCAAGGGGAGTGGGGACAGAGAGACAGAGACAGGCAGGGAGAGAGACAGAGACGGGGAGAGGGAGAGAGGGGCAGGGAGGAGAGGGAGGGACACAGAGAGGCAGGCAGAAAGAGACGGCGGCAGAGTCAGAGGAAGAGGGAGAGGGACAGGGAGGAGGGGACGAAGGAGGGGACAGGAGAGGACAGGCATGGTCCTCAGCACCACTTAGCCCGACTGTTGAAGGATTCCTGTGATTGGGCTCAGGGGAAGCCATAAATCTCAATAACCATCGGCCCAAGTTTTCCAGCCTCCTTGAATCAACAGACATAATTTCATTGGCCGACCGAGGATCCCAGAGGGCCTTCTGACAAAAAGCCACTTCTTCAAAACATCAAACCCAAGTTGCTGTGCCTCTCAAGCCACCCGGGGTCAGGATCGCGAGAGGGTCGAGTCTGAGGCAGGGGCAGGCTGCAGTGGGTGGCCAGGGAGGGCCTGCTCATAGACTGCAGGTGCTGGGGCCCTTTGTGGCCTCCTTGAATGTGACACCACCAGCCGGAGGAGACCGTCCCAGCTCTGCTGGGTCACCACTGGAGCGGAGTGCTCACTCCCACCGGGGCCAGCCTTCCCTTGGGCTGTGGATAATGCTTCTCAGGCTCCTTCTGAATCCTGGGAACCCCCAGGGATGCTCTCACAGCAAGGTGGTGGCTCGGCCACCCACCCAGAGCCACCCAAAGGGAATGCAGCCAAGGCGGATCTGAGCCCAGGGCACAGGGTCCCAGCCTGGGTTGGAGGCTCCACGCTGGAAAACTGTCCTTGAAGGAAGCAGAGGCAGCTTCAGGGACCCTCCCTCACAGAGGGGGACACCAAGGCCCTGGAGGACTCTTGCACAGGGACGCAGGGAGACAGAGCCCAGCAGGACAAGGACATGGGCTCCAGACTGTTCCAGAGAGACACCTCGCTCGGCAGCCCTTCCCGGGGCACAGGACACCCAGGAGAACAGCAGAGGAGGCCTGGCTTTGGGGATGCCCCTGTCCTGGAGATGCCGTCTGGACCCAGGGTGCACGTCCCTGGCCTGCATGCCGAGCACCAGCGCAGCGCCCTCAGACACAGTGAGAACCAGGGACACACCCAGTCGCCCCCACCCTCCTCAGTGGGCCTGGGAGACGCTGGGTGCCTCTGAACATCCCGGCTCCTCCTCAGCCCACAGGCCTCAGGACGCCCAGCACCTCCCAGCACCCGGCATCCTGAGCCCCGGTGGTTCACGCTGAAGCCACGGGACCCCTACTCATGTGATCCCTGAGCATCTGAGGCCCCCAGGTGCTGGGCTCAGGGGAGACGGAGGTGAGCAGGTTCTGGTGCCTGAGGACTTGGTCTGGTGGTGAGCCAGGAGGGGCAGGTCCGTCCGTGGGCAGCTTTGATGCTATGTGGCAGGGACTTGGTCAGGCCTGGTCCAGACTGGGGGGTCAGGGAGGGCTGTCTGGAAGCAGTGGCATCTGGTGAGACACCAGGGATAGCAGCTGCGCAGATGCCGAGGACGAGGGGCCACTGATGCACCTGTGGACAGAGCTGCCCACTTCCAAGGGGCTGGGACAAGCACCTTGGGGAGTCCGTCCCAGCGGCTGGGTCCCTCTGTGCCCTGCCTGGGACTGTGCACTCAAGGCCCGTGTGGGGACAGACTGCACGACCCAAAGGCAGAGACTGAGCAAGCGAAGGAGTCGGTGGGCCAGAGAGTGGACGAGGGATGGAAGAGGGCGGAGAGCAAACCCAGAGTCAGGGCAACCTCATCCAGACCTCCAGGGGTCACTGGGGGCCAGCACAGTCAGGAGACCGGAAAGGCCAGCCTCTCCCAAGAGGGGAGAGGGCAAGGCTGTGCCCCACACAGCCATGGCATCCTGGGGGCTGCCCTCAGAGTGGGCTGGGCCTCTACTCCCCTCCTGTCATCTCCCTCTCCACTCAGACCAAGCCCAGTGGGCACCTCTGCCCAGGCAGACGGCTGACGTGAGGCTGGCCTTTTGGAAGGCCTGTCTGCTGGAAGCTGGGACGTTCCTGAGTGAGTGCAGCCCTGCCTGAGGCCGCAGAGCAGTGGCCAGTCCTGTGAGGCGGATCGTGACGCTCACACCTGGGAAGAGCACCCCATGCCGACCACACTAGGGCAACCCCTCCTGGGTGCAGGCTCTCCTCCACCCTGATGGCTGAGGCTGGGCCCTCCACTTCCCAAAGGCTGTCCTCTTTGACTCCCCAAAGATGCCACCAACTATGGATGTTTCTCTAAGTACCCACAGGAAGGAACCCCAGGAACCCCTTCAACAAACCCCAGGCCCTGAAGCCTGAGGGTTGCAAACCCGTCCTCTGTGCTTCCCGTCAGACTGTGCGGCAGGGCAGAGGGTGTGGGTGCACACGCACCTGTATGCAGATGGGGAGTCCTTCCTTCATCCAGCTCAGGGAAGGAGAAATCTTGCCCCCGAGTGCTCACCCTCCCACCTGGTTTGGGAAACTGCCCCGAGGAGCCAGCCCTGCTTTCCAGTGAGAAGGACCCTGTGAGTGGCAGCTCAGCCCTCAACATCGCAGGACACGCAGACTCTGGGGAGGCAATAAGGCACAAGGTCTCTCATCCGGCCGGGCAGACATTCCCCTCCCACAGAAGAGGCTCAGGGGCTCCTAGGAAGGCTGCAGTTTCCCATCCACACTGCACTGGAGGAGGCTGGGGACACAGCCCAACGTCAAGCCCTGGCCTGGCATGTGAAGGCCCCGCGCTTGATCTCCAGCATGCAAAGCAATACATAAATAAAATAAATACAATGAACTATCTACCCTACTGCCCTCCCATCCGCACATCCACCCCCCCACCCACCCACCCACCCTTCTGTGCGACTGTCCATCCACCCACCCACCCATCATCCATGCACCAACTCATGCACCTTCCCATCCACCCCTCCATCCACCCACCCGTTCCCCCACCAACCCGTCCTGTCCACCTGTCCATTCACTCACACACCCATTCAGAAAGTAAAGACACACAAGCTGATTAAACCGGCCAGGGGCACAGACATTCTGCACAGCTGGACCGTGACCAGGGGCCATGTGTGTTCATGTAGTGGCCAGCCCTGGCCACATTGTGGGGCTTCCTGTAGAGCCCTGCCAGGCCTCCCCACTGTTCCTGTTGCATGTTTGGGGGGACGGCTGGCGGAATTCCCTTCATGATCCCCCAGGGTCCTCCCAGCCCAGCAGCTGCCCCAAGTGGACCTGTGTGTGAGACCTGGCACCTCCTGAGGACAATTATTGAGCTTGGGAAAGATGTCCTATGCTGTCCCCAGGCCCAGGAGTCCCTGCACCTGGATGGGGAGGGGGCTATCCAGACTTGGCTCCGGGAAACCCAGGAGCCCTTGGAAAGGCACAGCCCAGCGCCACCCTGCATTTCGCCTTTTTTCAAGGGGCCAGCACAGGGCTCATGGGGCACCCTGGGAGGTGGAGCTACCGGCCCATTACCTTTCAAAACAGTCACTCAAAAACCTGTCTGTTGGAGAAGCTCCCAGCCACGGCCAGAGGTCACAACCTTGACCCTCAGCCCTAGGCACAGGAGACCACATTTCCAAGCACAGCTTAATGTTTAACTTCCCACGGGATGTCCCGCACAAACATTATCTTTGTGCAAACTAGACAGTTCAGAGGAGCAGACCTGGATCTCCCCAGCCTGGGACAAATGTCCACCCACTTCTGCCCACGAGGTTCTCGGCTTGCCCAGCCCAGGGTTGGGGTTAGGGGCCATCCTGTCTCACCAGCTCCCAGGGGTGGGGACCTGTGAGGGTGCAGCAGGGGCTCCAGGTCAACCCCTCCCCTGCTGGTGGTTTTACCCCCTGCTGCAGAGGGGCCCCCCTGAAGCCTGCCCAAGTCCTGCCCCCACGGTGTCAGCACCCACCTGCCAGGCCCTGCTGTGGCTCTGGGGACAGCCACACCAACCTTCCTGGCCAGTCTTCCTAAAGTGGGTCTGGCACAGGACTGGGGTGCAGTGGTGATGCCCAGACGTACGGGGTGGGTGGGGAGCCTGGAGGGAGAAGAGCAGGCGCTTCCCGGAGCGGACACCTGCTCTGGGTGAGGGCCGTGTCCACCAGGCCTCCGTGGGGAAACACCTGGAGCTGTCCCGAAGGGGCCCCTGCCCACCAACACCCTGTTTGAGGGTCACCATGACATTAACTCCCTGGCACCACCAGCTGGCCTCATCTGCAGCCAAAGAAATGCAGAAAGCCAAGCGTGGACCCGGGGCAGGGCTGCCCCATCCACCACACACACGCACGCGCGTGTGCGCACACGTGCATGCGCACTGGGGCCTCCACACCTGGTCAGCCCTGACCCCACAAAAGTTGGCCACAGACATGCTCCAGGAGCAGGGAGCTCCCTGAGGGTCATCCTGGGCCAGCCAGGTTGGGGCACTTGCTGGCCTCCGAGTGCCCAGGTGGTGGGCCTTCTGTAGGAGTGGGGTCACGGGCAGAGGCTGGGTGCAGCGTGGTGTCCGTGGCCCAGGGTGAGCCCCACTGAGGCCCCTGGGATGCGGAGCGTAGAGAGCTGGTACCCAGTCTGACCTGCACAGGGGCGGGCTTGCCCAGGGTTGATGGCAACAGGCCTCCAGCGCCTTCATAACAACAGGCTGGGGTGTCCCCAGCCCTGAGGAATAGTCGCAGGACAGCACAGGACAGACTCTGCCTTGCCCCCCAGTGCTTCAGAGCTCCTTCCAGGTGTCCGCGTCCACCATGCTGACTAGGGCTCACTCCAGGGAAGGATCCACAGCCCACGACCTGAGTCTGCCCCCAGCTCGGCAGTTGACCCAGGCAGTTCCAGGAAGGGAAGACAGCCCTGTAGCACCTCCCGGCCCCCAAGGGCCACTGTGGGCCCTCAGGTGGGCAGATGCCCCAGCCTGGCACAGCATCTGCTTCTCTGGGTAGGGATCAGGGTGACATAAAACCAGTGTGTGCAAAGAGCTGAAGGGAAATGAGATGGAGGGCCCAGCCCAGTCGCCGGAGGCAGGGCCTCCACCTCTGGGGTCTTGAATTTTATTTCCTGTATTGGATGGAAGCTCGGGGGCAGGGAGGAGGCAGGAGCCCCACGACAGGAGAGAGCATCTGCACCCCTGTCCTGGCAGGCACAGCACAGTGTGGCCATGCTGAGGCCCGGGCCACCCCTCCCTTGATACGCACGGCCAGTGTGAGAAGCACCCAGAGGACTGTCCCCAGTGTCACCCACCCTGCCAGAGCTCTGCCGGCTGATTCCTCCTAGATTCAAAGGCAACACAGCCAAAGAGCTGGATTCCAAAACCTCGCTGCTCTGAGCCTCGATTCCCTGCTGTAAAGTGGAGATGTTGACAATTCTGACTGGTCACAAGACCAGTGCAAGTGTCAGGCAGGCATCAGGGCCAGAGCTGTGCCTGGCCTTCAGGGTGCATGGCAGAGAGAAAGGTCTGCGTTGGTCCCTGGTCACAGTGGCCACATCTGTAATCCTAGCAACTCTGGAGGCTGAGGCAGGAGGATTGCAAATCTGAGGCCAGCCTGGGCAACTCTGTGAGAATTTGTCTCAATATAAATTAAAACTAGAAAGGGCTGGGGGTGTAGTGCAGTGACACAGCACCCTTGGGTTCAGTCCCCAGTATATTTTTTAAAAAATGAAGTCCCTCTTGGTAGCACCGTTTTGTCTTTTCGTGTTCGCAGTTCACAGCAACCCAGCTGAGGCCATGAGGTCCCTGGAGTCCCAGAGCCTCAGAGCACCCTCGTGGTTGGTCTGTGTGGCCACGGGGACAGCAGATGAAAGCTGGGGACAGTAAATAAGCCCGAGGTGAATGAGGTGAAGCGTTCACCTTTGGCCCCATCCGCCGGCCTTATCTCCCCCCCCCACCTGCCCTTGGTCTGTTTGCCTACATTAGGGCTGATGGACAGTAGGACAAACACAGCCCAGTGGCCACTGGCCAAGGGGCCCTGAGGACACGGCCTGGACAGAAACAGGGTAGGGAAGGGTCAGAGCCCAGAGCCTGGGCCTGTGGTGAGCCAGGTGGGTGCCAGGCCTTGAGGGAGGCCATGCACCGAGAAACAGGGACCCAGGGACAGATGCTGCCCACTGCACGGCACCATCAGAAGCAGGCAGACCCCGGGCCCACTGCCTGCTCCCTCCCCCTGCGCGTGGTAGGGAACCCACAGCGCGGGGCCCAGGCTGTGCTCTGGGCCACTCTGTCCACCACGGATCTTCTCTCTACCAGCCACAGCCTCCGGGAAACATCCAAGAAAACCAAGACCCATGCCTACCCTCTGGCCACCAGGGAACACCTGGGTCAGGGCGGGAAGGGCGGGAAGGAGGATGGCTCACGGAGGCCTAACTCGAGGACCCAGGCGTGTGGCTCGTGGGGTCTGCAGGAGAGGGACAACCCCGGGGTGGGGGGGCATGAGTGAGCTGCAGCACCAGGGTGGAGGGGACGGTGGGGCCTGGCCCAGAAAGCCCGAGTCCCTGGGCTGCCTGGCCAGTATTACAGAGGGTCTCAGGGCCCTCAGCCCCGGCGCCTGCAGCCGGCGTGTCAGCTCGGTCAACAGCTGGCACCCTACCTGCCTGGCCACCACCCTCCTGTGACTGCAGGCAGGCTCCTGTCCAGCAGGAGCCCCGTCTTCCTGGCCTGGCCAGCCTGGGACACCTGGGACGCCCCTCTCACCTGCCTGGGGACCCCACCCAGGTCCTGGCTCACCTCAGCCCCCACCCTAGTGGTCAGTATCTCAGTGGGGCCGTGGCCCCTCCCCTCCCCCCACGGTCCTTCCTGAAGGAGGACGAAGATGACCAGGGGCCTCCTCCCTGTGCCTTCACCCAACAGGGGTGGACCTGGCACCTGGTACTTTCTATCATGGAACTGGCCTGAGGACGTCCTGGCCAGCAAAGCAGGCGGGGTCCCGTCCCCTGGAGCCTACGGCCGGGGCTTCGACCACGCAGGACCCAGTGCTGGACGGCTGAGGCCTTTGCTCTGCTAGCTCCGCCCCTCGAGGAACTGCTTTATAAACAGGCCTCAGCTTCCTTTGAGAACCCACAGAAGAAAAGGGCCTTAGAGGCAAGGACTCGCTTCCTCTTTTATTTATTTTTTATTTTTCAATATTTTTTTAGTTGTTGAGGGACCTTTATTTATTTATACGCAGAGCTGAGAATCAGCCCAGTGCCTCACACGTGCCAGGCAAGTGCGCTCCTGCTGAGTCACGGCCCAGCCCTCGCTTCCTCTTTTTTAATTTTTTTGAATATTTTTTTAGTTGAAGATGGACATAATACCTTTATTTATTTTTTTTAATGTGGTGCTGAGGATCAAACCCAGTGCCTCACACGTGTGAGGCAAGCGCTCTGCCACTGAGCCATAATCTCAGCCCCTCACTTCCTCTTTTACAAAGAAACATCTGATAAATCTGTTCAGGGCCACGAAAACCAGTCCTGTGGGGGATCTTGACACGTCCTTTTATTGGCAAAACTAAAAATCCCACTGTGCTTTCATTTCTTGCTGTGGCTACCAGGAAGCTCAGACTCACATTAAGGGACCAATGACAAACACTGGCCCCTCTCTGGCTCCTGAGGTCATGTTCTTCCCCCTCCCTCTAGATTATCCTCAAACCTTCTGCTCTATTTCCATGTTCCAGTTCTGGGTTTTGGAATGCATTATTTTTCAGATTGGCAACATGTTCACAGAAAGTATCTAATTTGTACTATGCACAGCCACTTAACGTTGGGTAAAAAATAATTTCCAACTGTGTCCTACAGGCCTTTGAACAGTAACTGCCCCTTCCCGTGGACCCCCTGAGGACCCCTGAGGCCTGCACCTGGCCTCCTGGCCCTGGCATCCCTTGGTTCACACTGAGGGCTGGCGTGGGAGGCAGAAACTTACCCCCCGGGGTCTTTGCCCCCTAAGTGCCTGGCTTTCGGGAAGCCCCTCCTGCCCCCAGCTGTGCACCTGGAATGTGGAGTTAGGGATTGCTCCTCACCAGGAGAAGAGTCTCCAGTAAGGGGGTGTGTCCCATTCAGGACATCCCCTTCCTGACTCTGGCTCCACCTCACAGACTCAGACGACAGCCGGGGTGCTATCAGCCGAGACCCACAAGGACCAGGTTGGAGCGGGTGCCAGCTCTGCACACTAAACGGGAGCAAGGGACCATTTCCCAGGGGAGGTCTCTGGCTCCCACAGCTGGCCTTCAGCACCCGCCCACATGCCCCACCAGCCCAGCCCAACCCCAGGAGTGAGCAGGCCCCGGGACCTGTCCCTCGCACCCCTCCACGGTGCCCAGCCTGCATGCCGAGGTCGAGCCCTGCCCAAGGCTCTGCTCACCCAGGACCTGCAGGTCCACACAGTCATGAGCTGCAACTGGCAAACTCAGCCAAGGCAGGGAGCAGGCCAGCCCAAACAGGCCCCGTGGGGAGCGTCCTGCCCAGCTCTGGGCTCCGAGCTGCGTTCTACCAGGCACCACCTCCGTGAATCCTTAAAAACATCCCCTCCCAGCTGCAAAGTGCAATAAAGCAGCATAATCAGTATTAATATTAGTTATTGTTATTGATTTCAGCTCTAAAGAATTGATTTTCAGTCTGGGCCCTTTTATGAGGCTCTTTGTGGAAGACAGATGGATGTGGCCCCCTCTGCTGGGGTCTTTGGCCAACTCCCAGGTGAGAGGAGACCCACCCAAAGCGAAGCAGGTTCAGAGGGTGGCCAGGGTGGGGATGCTGAGTCGCAACCTCTCCTCCTCTGCCCTTGACAATGAGCTAAGGCCAAGGTCCCAGAGGTTCCCACACACACAGCGGCACAGCCACAGAAAGACCCCACTGACCCACCCTCGGGGTCATCCAGACCTGTGAAAGACAGGCCATACCCACCCCTGGCTCAGATGCTCTGCCCCACCCAGGACCCCTCATCCTCCACCCCTTCCTTCCAGAATCCTCACGATGGCCGCACTCTGGGCTCTGGGGCTGCTGGACTCCCACCCACCCTGAGCCACCATGGCCAGGCCTGGTGTCCCGGTACATGCAGAAACCAGCTCTGAGCCTGCTGTTGGAGGAATGAGTGACCACAAGCACCTCTGAGTGCCTGCTAGGTGCCAGGTACAGGACCCTAGGACGCCAGAGGATCATCCACATGACCTGGGGGGACTTAGATGGAGAAACCAAGGTCTGGGAGAGGGGAGTGATTGCCACCCCAGCTTCTCTATTGGCAGCCTGTGGCTCCACCCTGGAGGGGAGAGCAGAAGGGGGTGGGATCTTCTGATGGACAGCCAAAGCCCCGCCCTCCAGCCGCTCCCAGAGAAGGAAGAGGAGCAGTCCTGCAGCCCTCCCCCGGCACCCCCCGCCCCCTCCCCCTGCCTTCCCCCTCCTCTCTCAGATCCACTGCTCTGTGACCCCAATTGAGAATCTGCTATAGGTGGGTTTGAGAAAAGCCCAGGCTCATATTTCTGGTCGTCCCCAAACACTATCTTGCCAGTGACATAACACTGGGCTTCATCCACTCACTTCCTCAACCATCCGTTTGTTCCTTAGAAGATGTGCCAGGCAGTGGCACTACCGATGCCAACAAGGGCCAAAGTGACAAAGCCAGGCGTTTCATAATGTAGAGGGTTTAAGGGCATTTGTTTGTTTGTTTTGGTACCAGGGATTGAACTCAGGGGCACTCGACCACTGAGCCACACCAGCAGCCCTATTTTGTATTTTATTTAGAGACAGAGTCTCACTGAGTTGCTTAGGGCCTCGCTAAATTGCTGAGGCTGGCTTTGAACTCGAGATCCTCCTGCCTCAACCTCCCCAGCGACTGGGATTACGGGCGTGCACCACCACACTGGCTCATTTTTGTATTTTTGAGATAGGTCTCGCTAGTTACCCAGGCTGGTCTCTGATTCCTGGGCTCCAACCATCCTCCTGCCTTAGTCTGCAGAGTTCTGAGGCCCCAGGCCTGCTCCACACGTCCACCCACCACAACGAAATTCACAGATCTCTAAAGGTATGGAGCAGGGCAAAGACTGGCTCTGACCCATGGCCCATGTGCTTGCTGCCCAGCTACACACATGTCCACACGGCAGATTCAGATCCAGGAGCCACTTTGGGGTTCAAGGATCCTGTCATTGCTGTCACCCAGCTCCCCGGCCCAGCCCCACTCATCCTCCTGCACCAGGGCACCCTGAGAATCTGGAGGAGCCCAACACTTCCTGGGAAGCAGGTCAAGGTCAGGACTTAGGAGCCTGCAGCCCACCAGGGACCCCAGGGTTCCCGGGCAGAGCCTTAGGACCTGCTCACATCATGCCCCAGCATGGTGAACAGGGTCCCCAAGGTCACCCCTCCACAAGAGGCAAAGCTGGAATCCAGCCCCGGCTTCATGTTTCCCAAGGCCCGGGTGGTTCTGGGTGAGGCGGCGGCTTCCCTCAGTAGTCCCTGGGGCTCGAGGAGAGAGCCTGGGCTGGGGCCTGGAGACTGAGGGCTGCTCCCGGGAGCTGGTGCAGGCGTTTGCCAGATGCGAAGGAAGCAAACTGGCTTATTGCAGGGCCTGCTTGGTCCCAGCGATGTCCCCATGACACTTGCTCCGTCCAGAACCACCCTCTCACCCGCCTGATTTCCAAGCCCATTCCTTGAACACTGCACCCAGCTGGTGGCCACTGCCGGCTGCCCGAGTGGAGGGGTCTGCAGGTTTCTCTTCCCGCTGCAGCAGAGCTGAGAGAAGATCCCCTCCCCAGGGCAGGTGGGCTCCGTGCCCCTACCTCTGGATTCTGTTGAACTCACCTGCCCTGCTGCCAGACTGAACCAGCAGCAAGTGTCTCCCGTGGCCCGGGATCCTCGGTGCCCTGAGTGGCCCTTAAATTCTGCTCCAACTCAGCTAAAGGGGAGCCGGTGAGCTCAGCCCTCTGTCTCCTACAGGCAGGGCCCCTGTGTTATCTGGTATCATTGCTGCCAGATAGGACAGCCAGAAGCCCAGCACGTGTGACAGCCAGTGGACGCGTCCAGGGACTGTGAGAAGCAGGCAGGGACCTGGTCATGCAGGAGGGCCACCCCCGAACCATGGAGGGAGACTTCACATAAGTGTAGACTCAAGCCCCCCTTGAGAGCGACACTGGGCCAAATGATTTAAATATTGTTTGGCCAATTACCAGCCTATAAATTAATTGTTCACAGCATGCAGAGGCGGCATCAGGGAGTGCAGAGGTAATTAGGCACAAGGCGCGGAACTCCCACAGAAGAGGCATATTTTACACTTAAGTTATAATTAAACTTAGAGAAATCTCTTCCGCCCAGTGCACAAACATAATCTGTGTCAGCCTTCCCGAGAGCTGGGCCTCTAATCAATTTATTTATCTGCTGTTTGAAGACACCAAGCCTGTGGCCCCCACCCATCCTCAGCATAGGGGCTGCAGGCTCAGAAGCATCTGGGCTGCGACCCCAGCACAACGCCCCAAGCCCCGGTTTGTGGCTGTTAAAACTTGGAGTCCAGAACAGGCCAGTGGCCAGCATCAGGAGCACAGGAGGGAGCTCCGGGATCCCAGGGCCAGCGCGGAAGTCCCCAGGCAGGCAGGGCTCCGGGCTGGGCAGGCCTAGGGACCGTGGCGCTCAAAACCCAAGGATCCGGCCGGGACGGGAGCACTCTCTTGCCCCAGGGAGGTGGAACCATCCCGTTCTTTAATTGCTTGGCCTAATTAGGAAGCAGCGATGCCCATAAATACTCTGGGCAACACGAAGCCGCAGGGACGGGTCTGCCTGAGCCTCGCAGTTCCCCAAGCAAATTCCGTGACTGCCTGGGAGAGCTGGGTGGAAGAGGGAGCAAGTCCCCAAGTCACTAAACACCGGCCGGTCACTGCTAACTGCCACTCACCATGCCCAGCAGCGTCCCCAACAGGAGCAGCTTGGCAGGACTTCAGGAGACCCAGGCCCACAGACCCCACCAGCCCCACAGCCACCTCCACCTGCAGCAGCCACATGTAAACCCCTGCCCTGACTTCTAAGGCCTCCTGTTTCCCCACGCACCCTCCAGCAGTGAGAGTCGCCATCCCTGGGCGACACCTCCAGCCAGGTGTTGTGGGGTCCTGTATCCGTTCCAGCAATGCTTCCCTGGGGCTCTATTCCATTTCCTCCCAGCCAGCTTTTCATATGCCTGATGGCTACTTGGAAATCCTGTTTTAGACAGTGCCTGGGCGAGGCCTGCCGTTTCCTCAGCTGGGCCTCATTGTCTTGATTTGTAGGAGCTCTTTTCATAGGAGCCTCCATCAGCCTCCGCCTCTGGGGCTGGCCTCTGTGCCTCTGTTGCTCCTCTCCTTTCCTTAGGGAAGCGTGTCCTCCCCAGAGCTGAGGTCTGCCCTAGATCTGAATCCTGGTACTCGTGCAGACAGAACTCTTACCCTTCCTCCTTTCTCCTTCAGGGCCTTACTCTTGCTGGCCTCAAGGTCAAATGGAGACACTTCACCACCCTGCACTGCATTCTGGGTTACTTCCTCCTGGTCTTTCCAGATCCTGCTGGTCTAGAAGCTCCCTGTGGGGCGATGCAGCCTGCTCTGTGAGGACTGGGAGTTCCTCTCTGCTGGGCACTTCTCGGCTATGGCTGCTGGTCTGCCTGTTTACTGTCACAACTGAGCAGGGAAACATCGAGGGCTGCCCGGTGGAGGGCCTGGGTGCTAAAGGTGCTCTTCCCTGCCCCAGCCTGACAGCAGCCCCTGCCTCCTGACACCCCAGGTCAATGCCTCCTCAAGGACGTTTTCTTGGAAGAAGGAGGTTGAAGTGCTGAGGTATCTGGCACGGGCTGCAGCCCCTGGCAGAAGCGCTTCCCCTCTGGAGGCAGGACTTCCAGAGCACAGCACGGAAATACCAGTGCTCCCGCCCCCCCCTGCTCCCCGACAGTACCGCGCCTCCTGGGAGAAGGGTGTCAAGCACTGGTGCCCTAGAGAAAGGCTCCTGTTTATGCAGGTGACACCCCAGCTGGAATCCCAGCTCTGCCTTCCTGAGGCTGCCCCATCCTGGTCAGGCCGGCAGTGCGGGGAATACGTGGCGTGCTCTGGCCAGGCGCCAGGGCTGCACTTCCTCAGGCTTGTTTCCTAAGGTGGAGGTCCGGGCACGGCTTGGAGACCTTCCTTTCCAAGGGAGACAGCTGCAGCTGCCCATCCGCTGGGCACTGCCATGTTCCCATCCCTGCTGCCTGGGCACCCTGTGCCTTTGCTGTCTTTCGACAAGGTGTTTTTTCATTTGCTCTGTGATTC